GTCACCTTAACAACCATCGCTCTCTACCTGTAACAGCTATCGCCCACACTCCGCATCTTAGCGCTGGCTGTGTTACACCTACAGCTGCATTCCCGTCTCCCGTCGCACGCAGGTCTATTCTATTTTTAGCTCCAACTCCGCCGGCAGCATCACAAAGTGCTTGTCCACCATCTCCTTGGTCACCTCTGCTAGCGTAGCTGGCGTCCATTTGGGATCGTTTGTCTTCTCAATCAACAGCGCACGGATGCCCTCGTAGAAGTCCTTGTTGCGCTGTGTGTGTAGGTAGACGGGTGCAATGCATGGATGTATTAGGCTCATGTGTAGATGAGAAGTCCTTGTTGCGCTGTGTGTGTAGGTAGACGGGTGTAATGCATGGATGTATTAGGCTCATGGGTAGATGAGTCATACCATTTCGGTACACCGGGGTATGTGCATGAGTGAATATTGTGATGGAGAAGTATGCTGAGCGCGAGATGTGATTGAAAGCACCATTGAATACTAACAACAGTTGAAGCTACACTCTTGATGTCAATGTCAGTAGAAGCTAAGGCTTCACGTGCAATATGTCGCATACGGCTTCACGAGGACATTGTAAGAATCATGTATATGGCAATGTACATATATATACATATATATACATATAGATAGATAAATATCTATATCTATATATATAGATAGATCGATATCTATCTATATATATATATATGTATATATATATATATATGTGTATGTGTATGTATATATGCGCATATATATATATATATAAGCTATACCTATAAAATAGATATATAAGATATTTAAATCCATATATACATATATAGTATATGCATACATACAAACATATATACATACAGACATATATACATACATAAGTACGTACATACATTCGTACATACATTCATGTATACATACATACATACATATATATATCATATACATGCATATACATGCATATACATGTATATATATATCGTATTACAAAGGAATAGGACAGAATATCAGGTGTATCTGTGAGCAGTTGCATACCATGGTTTCGGCACAGATGCGGAGTTCCATCTGCAGATCTCCGTCCAGCGAAAGACCCGCCCCATTGCGCAACTGACGAATGGTCACCTGAAAGAGACGTGTCACAGCACACATCAGAGTAAGACAAATGCCACAGCCCATTAACAAACGGTGCACCACGCTTCATGCTTCATATCTGAGACAGTTTCTCAGTCCAGATTATTCTTGCACACGCTACCACTGGTAAATGCTGACTGACTTAAATGGTATCTTAGTTTATTTAACATGGTTTAAAACTTAGTAATATCCATCCCAGTTTACATACCAACTACTGTGTACGTGTACGTAATGGCAGAGTGTTATTGTGTGTACAGCCGTAGGTCATCCAACAGGCAGATCGCACCACACACAGTGCTCTGCTTAATACTCGGCAAGCAGGTTAAAACTCCAAACCCTAAACCCTGCGGCATACTACACAAATACTATTCGCAGCACACACATTTAATTCGCAGTTACTACATGCATATCCAGTCACATCTATTTACCCAATGACCCGCCTTCACCTGCCCATACAACTGACGCCTGCCGTGAGATTGGACTGTGTTGTGCATGAGGTGGAAAAACAGCAACACCTAAACCCTAACACCCTAACCCACAATCGGGTGACACCTGCATACCTTGACACTGGTTGGTGACATCTTCTCGATCGTCTTGGCGTTCTTTCGGCCCCATTCACCGCTGTCATTTAGCAGCGCCAGCATGTCCTCTGCCTGAGAAACAGGGCCGCACAGGTGCACAGGTTAGGACAAACACACTAGAACGAGTGCTCACAATACCATGCGGGGATGCGGGTATGAACCATTGGCTTGGGTTGAAGGTCACATGTATGCGTGTGCCCAGTGTGGGTGTGTGTCATTCTAAAGTTCGGTACTGGGGGAGGGGGGTGGATAGACCCTCTTAACCCGCCGCAGTGAAGCCAGGGTGCATGAGGCAGGCGACGATAGAGAGGTGCGGTGCAGGCTCAGATCGTGAGCGTATGACACGGTGCTACTAAAAAGGCAAGGAACGTTTCTACTCGATGTATTTCAGGGCAAGAAACACACACACCAACCACACCCACAAGTAAGTCCAGGGCAGAACAAGTAGGTGCAGCACTTCACACCGGTAGGCTTGGTACAATCCTATTAAGCACACTTATTAAATAGACGCAAACTAAATACAGCCTGCCAATATGTACGACTCATGCGACACACAATTCTATAACCCAACAATGCGACAAACAATTCTAAACAACGGTGCAGCTCTGTGGTTGTAGTGCTGTAGTGTGACTATGACGACAACCTCCCCCACAGCATTGGCTTCCACGCGACTGTGGTTGTAGGGATTAGAAACCCTAACACACAGGCAGTATGACTGGCAGGTAGTCTCATTGGGACCAAGGGTATGCAAGACACTACTACAGCAGACATACGTATTAACACTATCTCAGGAGACATACGTATTAACACTACTACAGCAGACATACGTATTAACACTATCTCAGGAGACATACGTATTAACACTACTACAGCAGACATACGTATTAACACTACTACAGCAGACATACGTATTAACACTATCTCAGGAGGCATACGTATTAACACTACTACAGCAGACATACGTATTAACACTATCTCAGGAGACATACGTATTAACACTACTACAGCAGACATGCGTATTAACACTATCTCAGGAGAGCACATCACACCAACAATCGACAGAACCAACAACACTTACACACGCACACTCTCACGCAATGCACCGCATCAACCACAGTGTAGATAGCTGTGAGTACCCAAACCCCTAAAACCTAACTAACCCCGAATCATCCCTAATCCCTAAACCTAACCGCGAATCAGACCCTAAACCCCTAAAACACCTAAGAGAGCTGAGTTGCTATTTCATGAGCATGTTAATATTGAAGTAAGCTCAACACCATAACAGCAGTACAACAGACAGACAGACAAACGATGACTCACCTTATCACCCGCAAAGCATCTGTCAATGTCATTCAAATGCGCATCCAGACTGAAAGGCGTGTCAGGTGTCACGTGGTACTTGTTCAACACAACTTCAACATCTTCTTCATTCTCTACACTCACCAGGCTGTGAAAGACCGTTGAATGAATATTTTAACATACTTGTTGTATATATATATATATATATATATGTATATATATATACAAGTATATATATATACATATACTATTTGAATATAAATATAAACATATATATTATATTCATATATATATATAATATATATATATATATATATAAAATGTATATATATAAATAAACATAAACATGTATATACTTATTATATACATACATATCTATATATCTATATGTATATATGTATATATATGTAAATATATATATATAATTGTGACAGAGAGAGCGAGAGAGTATGTGTGTATACATATTCATATATATATATATGTGTGTGTGTGTATGTGCGTGCATGTGTGTGTTATATATATATATATATATATATACAAATGCTTATACTTACTCGGCTGTGAGATCGGTAAGCTGGTCCTTTGGCACGTAGTGTGTGGCTAGGCCTGCGTGGTAGACATCGGCGGCCTTGAGTCGATTGCCAGTAAGGGCTAGGTACATCCCCAACTCACCCTTTAAACGCGGTAAGAAGTGTCCACCTGAAAACGTAGCAATAAGAAAACGTAACAGTAGGTAAATCTTAGAACGACGGACGATCACGAGATGACTTGGACTGGTATTGCGACTTCTCTGTGGGAAATTCGCATCAACGTGACAGGCGGTGTATGGGTCGATTGGCGCTGAAGAGAATGTACTTGGTATCCCTATCACTTGGTATTATGCGGGTGTTCAATGTGTAGACGCATATACGAACACAAACATATAAATATACACATAAACAAACATCTGCACATACACATACATATACACATAAATATGCACATACACAAACATCTGCACATACACATGCATAAACACATACATATACATATATACATACACATACATATGCACACGCACAAGTTTCCGCGATAATGGAGTGTATTTATAGACGACGAATCGAAGACTATTTACTACCTGCCAATACCAATTTGCAATACGAGGTGAATGTAACCAGACATGTTCACACAAGGTTTACCTAGTGCAGCAAGTGCAGGTATGACAACAATACACCAGCATATACACAGTATGCAAATAAGGCAATTCCCTACGTGCGTGCACGGATTCTCACTAAAGAAATCGTCCTTATTAACATACCATTAGATACATATTTATGTACATATACATACACTAGAAACCCTAGAACACAACAGCCATTCATCTCTGATTTACTACACCTTTTCAATCGACCGACACTGCACCCATTCAACGCACACACAGCAACTAATCAAACCCTGAAACCCTAAACTAATACCACTCGACTGCACAAATGACACTCTTCCACAACAACCACTCCCATGCACAGCCATGACCGCATTAGAGTGCGCCTGTTATGTTAGGCTTACACACCTCCCACATCCGGCACTAGGCCTATCGCTGTCTCAGGCATAGCAAACAGCGTCTTCTCAGTCGCCACTCTGTATCGCCCATGCACAGACACACCCACTCCCCCACCCATTGTGATGCCATCAATGAGCGCCACTGTGTGCAAAGGCAGTGGTGTGATGTATGAGCTTAATTTAATAGGAATACATACATATATATATATATATATATATATGTATGTATATGTATATATATATATATATGTGTGTGTGTGTATCTGTATTACCAGCTGGCAACGTGTGAGACTAGATACTACCCACAACTAGAACTGCAAGAAGATAACCTCAAAACACCCAAGCGTGCCTGTGTGTGTGTTGTTATACAAACAATGACGGCAGTCTGCACACACGAGACGTTCAGTTGCAGTGCATGCAGTGTGCGTCTACTGTGAGTGGTGTGATCTATAGTGGGCCACATGCAACCTATGAACATCGGTAGCAACAGGTCCGATGAAAGAAGTGTCAGAGAGGAAGCACAGACCAACACAAACTAAACACTCGCTGCAAGAGGCTATATGGACTAGAAACCCTGACACTACAGTACAGTGTAGGATCTGCCATAGAACTATTGATATAATACTACAGTGCAATATACGATGTGCCATAATAATAATATTATAATACTACAGTACAATAAAGGATTTGCCATAGATCTATTCGTACATTACAACCCAACCCAGCCTCTACCGTCGTGACTAGTACGTGCGGGTGTGTCACGTGCATACCAAAGGGAGTCCGTAATCGGCCAATCAGACTATTTAACTTGTACTCCGTAGAGAAGAACTCATGGGCTACGGTACGGTCGCCTGCCAGACCAGCCTTAGCAATGTGCACCACATCTCCTCCAGCGCAGAAGGCTTTGCCACCCGCACCTTGCAGCACAATCACCTGCAGATGACAGCACAACCAACCACGCCATGCGGGTCATTCTACGCACGTGAGTGTCATGGAATCTGTGTAAACTGATACAGCCATCGGTATATATATATATATATATATATGTATGTATGTATGTATATCATGTATATATATTTAAATATATATATATATATACATATTTATAAATAATATGTGCATGTGTGTAATATATACATACATACATACATGCATATATATATATATATATATATGTATATACACACACACATATACATTTATATATTTGCATGTATATATATGCATGCATACCTCTATATATGTATACAGGTGTACATGCATGACATGCATGAATGTATGCTCGTATATCCGAGCACCTATCGACTCCTTGTATATACAATACATTAAAATGATGTGTAGCTAGGCCGTCGACAGCAGAAATGGATGTGTGACACTGTTGATGTTAGCATTCAGCAGCAGACAGCCGCTGTAGCCAGGCACGTGGGAACAGACCACACCAGCAGTAGATCACTACCAACACACAACACAAGCACACCCGACTGTAGGGGCTAATACCTGAAAAGCATATGTATACTATAACAACGCATGTATGTGCACGAGTACGCTACATCTTCTGCAGAGTGACCATCTGTAGTGCCACGACCAAAACGTAAAACGTACAAAACTTAACACGTACCAACCACTCTTCTCCCGTGCGAGAGTAAGCCCAGTGCATGCGTTGGAGCACAAGGCCTTAGCATGCCACACATTTAGAAGCGTGTGTTGGTGTGTGTGTGCATGAGTGTGTGTTGGGGTTGGGTGTGTGTTGAGAGACTTGCTGGCTGTTGAGGAGTGGTAAGCACACAGAGACGTCGAGTGCAACTGCATGTGCATAATAATACAACGGTGATGGCTAATGCGCTTGATGTATATCCCATTGGCAATGCTACAGCTCCTGGAATATATGAATATATATATATACACATACACACACATATATATATATATATATATGTATGTATATATATGTATACATATATATATATATATATATATATATCTAATATAATATATATATATATAGATAGATATATATGTATATATATATAGATATATAAATATATAAATATATAAATATATAAATATATATACATATATACATATGATTATATTATACGATGCAAATATAACCTGAAAGCATGCATGTGCACCCATTACAGGTATCGCACCCACTATTCATTCACAAGAATTGCCCGATGGCCACGTGTGCGTCGGCGTGCACGCGTGTCTGCCAACGTCTCATTCAACACTAAGGCGAAGAGGTTCTAGGGTTTCGAGGTTTAAGGGTTTTAGGCCAAGGCCCGTCCCCTTCTAGATGCACATCGATGACTCACCTTCTTCTGCGCATCGCCTTCCCACTCGTCAAACTGTTTCTTCATCTCTACCACCATGTCCAGATTGAGTGAGTTTAGGACTTTGGGTCGGTTCATGGTGGCCACACCGGCCTGTCCCACCTCCTCGAACATCATAGATGACTCACTGTCTTGTAAGGCCACTGAGGTCCCAAACTGGGTCCAAGGTGCATGCACACATGGAGATAATTAGAGGCGCTTGTGGTATACACATTTTCCTAGGCTTGAGGGTGGGTGCTGGTGTATGCATGCTGATACATAAGCCAGCATCTACGTATTGTGGCAAATAGGTGCATACATGCTAACACATAGGCAGCATCTACTTATTTGCAAATATAGTGTATTTATGTACTATACATGAAAATACAGTGTATATATGTACTATACTTGTACATACAGTGTATATATGTACTATACATGCAAATACAGTGTATATATGTACTATACATGTAAATCAGCGTATATATGTACTCTACATGTAAATACAGTGTATATATCTAAATAAGTGTATCTATGTACTCTACATGTAAATACAGTGTATATATGTACTATACATCTAAATACAGTGTAAATATGTATTCTATATGTACACGCACGCGACATCCCTGTCTACTTGAACCTACGCCGGTGGCTAGTTATTCTAGCTTGTTTGATAAGCCAACGCTACATAAGACTGCCATCAAAGCGTTCAATCACTCCCACCGCCTCCGCGATGTATCGCGTATCACGTAGTTGCCATACCGTAAACGTAAACGTAACCGCACAAACCAGCTGCATGGACTGCGGGACACAGTCGATACAGCAGCGAGTGCTCGTGGTTAGGGTTTATGGTTTAGGGTTTACCGTTGTCTGTGCACTCACCTGCTTACTGCTCATGTGTGCTGTCATCCTCGCGGCCACTGCCTGGCGAATCCTGCACAAAGTGTCGCATCGGTTGGTGTGGGTTGAAGAGGGGTTTAGCTCTGCACACGCAGCGTTATAGAAGACACGCACTTGAACACTCCCGAGACACGGGCGCCATGGCTATAGCGTAGCTCACTGCGCATATGTCATTACTCACTTGAATGGTCTCTTCCTCGGGGTTTATACATGCCACACATTGATAACGTAGCTGAGCTAGCTAAGTAACGGCATGTACTCGTCAGTGCGTTTGTGTATCGGCTGTACAACGCGCCAGTGCATACCTTCGCACTCCACAATTATAGTTTAGTGTTCTCTAACGCATCTCTGCACCCAACCATACCCAGCACTCAGCAGCGTGCAGGCGAGCAACAGTGGAGAAGAGTAACCCGAACTCGAGTCTAAAACACGCACACGTCCACCTGCGCTGTACGTGTATGCGCCGAGTGTCATGGACCGTGTAGCAGCGAGCGACCCACTACAGGATGAGTCATTATAGCCGACAAGTACACGCATAGGAATGGCTACTGATATCGATGGGAATATACAACCGTTTGAATACTCCAGCGTAATAGTATCCGGTATCCCCGCTATAGATAGTGTGCGCATTCAAACACCAGCTCGGCATGATATTTTGTATAGCCTTACACTAATAGTAAAAACTAATAGAACCAGAGTACTGTGTAGTCTATTAGAACCAGGGTGCTACAAAATAAACCTCACAGACGGTTTACACCTTAAAAAATAAACCTCACAGACGGTTTACACCTTACAAAATAAACCTCACAGACGGTTTACACCTTACAAAATAAACCTCACAGACGATTTACACCTTCTAACACTCTCGGTCTATAATGACCGCGTCAGGGAACTATTTTAGTCGTACAGAAGATGGGTATCCAAACGCCGACAAACCGTTTACACTGAATGTATCGCACATCTATGCGTCTGTGCATCTATTTGTGTATGTTCGCATATGTGACCACTAATTATCCACTCTTCCACTGACATGACTACTTGACAAATTAATTGCAGATACCCATCGCAGTGTTTCAGTGTGTGGTGAATCACGGCGCTACGCAGGCAGATGCACTTCGCGAGTATCGTTGCCAGAATTCCTTCAACAGGCAGGTGAAGAGACTCGAAAACACAAGTAAATATCAAATATGCGTATCAACGACAACACCAGGTGCATACGGTCAAGCAAGCATGCTATGTATAGTAATTGTGAAAAGTGGAATATAACGTTACATTTAGGCTCATTGGACCATGCTACTATATTAAGGTGTTCAACAGACATGACTTATTTCTCTATTGTGACATGTGGACAGATCACCCAAAACTTCACAACGCAAGCAGACAGTGACTATAGTTTTGGGTGCAGTTTGGCCACATGTGACCTTTAAACATTCAGTATTGCTTGTCGCCCAGATATGAACACTTCGAATAGCACGGCTATCAAACGCCACAGAGAGACCTTGTATGACAGTTCCCGCACTGCCCGATTACGAGCAGCTCAATCTACTAACGGATACTATACAAACATTGTGGAAAACATTCAGGATCGAACATACCTTAGCGCTGATGGATTCAGTCTTAGCATTGTGGTTCTGTATCGTAATGCAAGACACGCTGTGGAGAATATAACTTGACGCTTGGAAAGATTTATCTACGAGGAAAACACATCTATTTATTTATGTGTCTGTTGGTGCCTTGTGACTGCTGCTGATGACATAAATATATATATATATATACATATTTATAATTTTATTTATTTTTAATAAAAATATATATGTATATAACGTCCAACTTGCATTTTTATTGGGTACCACCGACCCGGTCCAGAGGGGAAGAGGTTGACCAATGACCAGAGACTCTCTAGAGAGAGTATTTAACCACCACCAGCCACCAGCCACCAGCCACCGCCCACCCGGGGGTCCAGGGCCCAGGCTAAAGTCCAGGCAGGCAGGCAGGCTGCAGGCACCAGCCACCAGTCACCACTCACCACTCACCAGTCGCCAGTCGCAACTCACCACTCACCAGTTCTGCAGTTCACCACTGTCACCACTCACCAGTCACCACTCACCAGTCACCAGTTCACCACTGTCACAGTGTCACCACTCACCACTCACCACTCACCACTCACCACAGGGGGAGGGCCGGGGGCGACACTATGATGACTCCATGGACCATGAGACTATGAATCTTATGCAGTTGTGCCCAAGTGTTGCACTGTTGCGTTGTTTCGAGACTCCGAGAGTCCAGACTCCAGAGTCCAGAATTCAGAGTCCAGACTCGACTACTCGACTAGCTATTATATTCATGTAAATACATATTTATGCACTCGAGACTCGAGAGTCGAAAGTCAGGTCGAGAGAGTCGAGACTTTTTTTTAATTAAAATTGTAAGGCGCCCCAGCCTCAGGAAGTACTGAACTATACTCAAGTCCATGCCCAGCAATTCTGACTATATAGAAGTGATGACATACTATTACATACTGAACTACCATACCACATGTCAATAACAATGTCAGTATGTATCAGCCTTCATCTATATATGTACGATACAGTATCTTAGGGATAATATTATTTATTTCAAAAGAGATAAGTTACAATGTATGTATGTACATCTGGTATGGCACTCATACCATATGTAAAGATCGATGGGAAGAAGTGGTCAGTAAATTCCCGTTTGAAGCTTGGACCAAGTGAGTCGACGATAGAGGATATGCGCTGGGCCAATTCAGGCCGGTACTAACAAAAAAACTGACACCATCGAGTGTGCCATATATTCGCTTGCTGACCTACTAAGTAGCGTATCCACCTCTGTGGTACGGATCGGGTCTGCGCCGTGTAGTGCCGTGGATACAAATGTGTTGGTGCAGAGTACGAAATACCGAGTAGGACCAGGTTATCCGTCATAATTCGGTCGAAGAGCGAGGTTGGGGGTGAGCC